GTTTCTTGTGTGTGCGTTGGCTGTTGTTGCTGTGCTTGCCGTTGTTGTTGCTGCTTGCTTTGTTGTCCTTGTGTTTTTTTTTTTCTGGTGCTGCTGTGGTTTGTTGGTGTTGTTGCTGCTGTTCCTGTCTTTCTGCCCTCTTGGTGGGGTGTTGTCTTCTTCCTCTGCTTGTGTGTTGCTTCTTTGCTGTCCCCGCTGCTGCTGCCTCTGTTGCTCCTGCTGCTGCTGTTCCTGCTGCGTTTTTTTTTTCTTGTGTGTGTGTGTGTGGGGATTCATAGGCCTTGTTATGCTTGAAGTACTGAGGATTGCTCCCTGGCTGCAGCCCTTGTTCTTAAAGGCATGACGGCCATGGCGTCCCCACTCGAGTTGGGTCGTCACATTGAAGACCTCAGCAAGAGATGCCTGCAACGCATCCGATCTGCAGGAGGGCCAATCGTGTCTTCCACGCTCCTCCATGCGACTTGGTCTAAACTACATAGCACCATTGGCAAATGCCGTCGCATGACGCAGGAGCTACGGCAGCATTTAAATGCGACCTCTCTGAATATGCCGGATTTCAGCGATTGTGTTTCCAGCCTCGTCAGAGCTCTGGACTGCTGCAATTCCGTCATACGAACACAGATGAATGAGGCATGCGTGTCTGCTATTGATCATGTTGACCATCCCACTGACAGCTACGCTTTGAGACTTGGCTGTGGGTCTCCAGGACGGACAGGCTGCTTGGATGTGGCAGGAACTACGGTTCTTTTCAATCAGATGTTTACAGGGAATGTCTCAATTTTGGAAGCCATGAGAGAGTTGGATATCCATGCAGTGGGCCTTCCGGGTGCTAGGCTTCAGAAAAATTTCACTCTCCCGCCTTCGCTGAATTGCGGCTTGTTTTGCAGAGGAGGGCCATCATATGCAAGTGTTGCTGTTCTTTTTCGCAACACGTTTCGGGACTGATTCCACCTCCTCTCAGATGTGGGGAGTGATAGAAGAATGTGGATCCAGATCAAAGTTGCGGGGGTCACGAAGCTACTATGGCTGGTATTCTACCTGCCACCTGGCTCAGATCAAGGGTCTGAAGTGTCTTGGCAGGCAGAAATGGATGGACTGGAAGCTGATTTACTCAGTATAGAAGCCGACTTTCCGAATGTCCCCCTCGTACTTTCAGGTGATGCAAATTTACAACCACAGGCATTAGGAGGCGGTCCAGATAGATTTCCGCGGCGTGACTCACGATTGGCCGACATTCTATCGCGCAACAATTTTCAGCTGGGTAACCCTCCTGCGCTCTCGGAAATGTCTGTCCCTGTTTCTTTACCATTGAGAGGCCAAATTGTGCACGTGGCCCCAGGTCACACACATCATTCGCATCTTGGCGCGTCTAGAGCCATTGATCTGGTCTTGGCTTCTGCTGGCCTCGTGATTACCACGCGTGTCCATAATTCTTTGCATTGCAAGGGCTTAGATTGTGCCTGGGATCTATGTCATGAGTATACGCTTGGTGACCATTTTCTGCTGGATATCTCTGTTCCAAACGTTTTGCTTACGCCCTCGTTTCAAGCGAGTGAGAAACCACCATCTGGTTGGGATGATCAACAAAGATGGATGCAAGGCTTTCGTGAGAATGTTCTTACATGCAGGGCCTTCTCTTCATCAATTGAGCCCCTTTGTGCGCACATTGAAAGCTTGCCGAGTGGCAGCAGGCCTTCTAGGCGTGTTGCTGAATGGCTGGCCGATACTTGCGCGTGCATCTTGGCCACCATTGAAGGACTGGTTAGAGACGGTTGGGTTTTGGCTGCTCAAATCCCGAGATCCAAGCGCAGTCGCCGGCTTACCACCCCTGAGCCTTTGATTGAATCATGGCAGAGTCTCAGAGCTTGTTCTTCAATTGAAGAGTGGTTTGCCTCGGAAGCACAACATCATGCTGAACCTGTGCTGCAATCATGCCTAAAATGGCTGAAGCCCGTTTCCCCCTCCCCGCCTCTTCGTCTCTGCGACTCATTATCAACTGCTCCTCTCTCGCCAAGTGCGAGCCACCAGCAGTGGGTTGCAGCAATTAGACAGCAATTTGTCGGACCTGAAGGGTGGGATCAAGAGTTCCACCGCCTCATTGAGCGGAAAGCTGCAGGTATCTTGGGCATGGAACTGCGCGCTATTGGTAGCGATCCAGCAGATGTACCTATTTCACAATCAGATTGGTTCTTGGGCACCTCTTTTTGGGATTCCTCGAGTGCAATTACGCCAGATCTTCTCCCCAGATGCCTTTTTGATGTTCCAGTTGAAGGCTGGTCCGAATGTGCTTGGCTGTGCATGCGGCTATGTGGACCTGCTTGCCTGGCTGTACGCCCTGAAGTTTGGCGCTGGAAGCGAGTTAAAGCAACTTACAAGAAAGGCCCTTCAGACTCTGCCTCCAGTTATCGTCTCATCACAGTCATGCAAAACCATGGTTTGCTTCAGGAGCACATCCTATTTTCCAAGGTGGCTGGGCGTGTTCAGGGTGCTATTTCCTGCT